TGAATTTATTTTAATTTTGTAATTTAATTTAATTTTTATATTTTCTGTTTTCATTTTAATTTTAGTCAGTTTTAGTAATTTTGTTGTGTTTGTCATTTTTATTATTCTTTTATTTTAAATATGTCTGTAGTTGTAATTCTTTATTTTATTTTTTAATTTATGTTGTAGTTATTTTAGTACTTCAACTTAAAATGAAAGGATGAGGATGCCATTAATGACTACATGTGTCACTGTCCACCTCCTGCACCGGACCAGCTGCCCTGGGGCGGCCGCGCCTGTGACGTCCCGCTGACCGGCTGTGTGTCTGACCCCTGCCAAAACAACGCCACCTGTGTGCCTTCACTGTACGGAGACCAGCATCAGCACACCTGCAGATGCCCTTCAGGTTTCCATGGTGACACATGCGAAACATCCACCACCTTCTCCGTGACAACGGGAGGTTATTTGGTCATCGAGGTCCCGCATATCAACATTGTTATTTTTTCATTTAATGTTTTTACATTTTTAATTTTGTCAATATTTTGAATTAGATTTTATTTTTTATATTTTATTTTAATTCAGTTGATGTTTATTTTATACATTTTTTTATGGTTTTAGTTTTAGTTAACAATAATAACCTGGCTTTTAATTCTATGACTTTTATTTGTAAGCCTAAATTCATGAGGATACTATAAAATATAAAATAAAGGATTTATAAAATAATTAAATATAATAATAAATAAATAAATAAATGACCTAATCATTAAATTAATCATTAAGTCTAGTCTAGTACCTCGGCGGGGTGCCGCAGGAATACCTCAACCGAACCACATCCAGGACGGGATTCGTGGGCTGTTTTGAGGATCTGCTGGTGGATTCTCAGCCGGTTCTTCCCCAGAGCTTCGGTCCGCAGCCGGACGTCCAGATGGGCTGTGAGAAGAGCGACTGGTGCGGTCCGGACCCCTGCTCTGAGAGCGGGCGCTGTGTGGATCTGTGGTCAGACTACAGGTGCGACTGCCGCAGGCCGTTTCATGGACACAGCTGTTCAGAAGGTGAGGCTTCTTGTTAAATAACAGCATCTGGAATAAATTTGCCTATTATGTGACTTTAATTTGTGAACTTGAATGCTTATGTAATTGATGTGCCTCTACTTTGAAATGTAACGTGAATATATATGTATATATATATATATATATACACTGCCGTTCAAAAGTTTGGGATCAGTAACACTTTTAATGTTTTTTTAAAGAAGTCTCTTCTGCTCATCAAGGCTGCATTGATTTGATCAAAAATACAGAAAAAAACAGTAATCTTGCAAAATGTTATTACAATATAAAATAATGGTTTCTATTTTAATATCCTTTAAAATATAATTTATTTCTGTGATGCTATATATATATATATATATATATATATAATCAGTGGTACTTTAAATTAATTTTAATTGAATATAATTTTAGGTCAGAGGGGTTCAGCTGACAAAAAAAAGTTTGTGAATGAGAATCATCACTGAGAACTGAACGAGAATTAAAATTGATTTAGAAATACCAAAACGCTCAAATAAAATCTGTGAACAAATAGAAATTAGAACTTTTAATAGCCGTGAAAATGAAAAACTAAAGTTAAAAACTAAAAAAAAACAAAAAATCTGAAAAGTCCTATAGTATTTGATCAAATATAAACTCTTCTTTCTCTCTCATTATTGGGGTGAAATATGAACTGGGCTTTTGTGTCATGATGGTTTCATACTCACACTGATGTATTACTCGAACCTTTGAGCTGTCTTTCTCCACAGAGTTCACTTCATGGACGTTCAGTCCCGAGCGCAACAGGAGCTTCGCTGCGTTTCCCATCATGCAGCAGCACGCCGGTGACGTGAGCGTGTCACTGTGGCTGAAATCACGTCAGTTAAACGGCCTGGTCTTTCAGCTCCAGCGTGAGAATCAAGCTTACCTCACTGTCTTTCTGAAAAACGGCTCATTATACATTGCGATATACAACTCCATCAGAAAAGCCTCCAGCTTCCTAACCGATGGGGAGAAGGTCTTTGTGGCCATTAAAAAAGAGCAAGGCTTTATATTGTTTAATCAAATGCAGCAGGTTTTTACTCCCAGAGAGATGATTGGTTTTGAGGTGGAGGCTGGAGATGTGGCGTATCTCGGTGGACTTCCTGAAGGAGAAAACGGCAGACAGTGGGGTGGATATTTTAAGGGCTGCCTGCAGGACGTGCGTATAGACGACACACAGCTGTACATGTACTCCGGCAGCATCAGCCAGAAACCACAGCATCTCAGCTACTTACCCAGAAACTCCTCTAATGTGCTGGAGGGCTGTGTCGGCGACCAGACGTGTAAGGTGAGACTGGCTGAATTATAACCGTTCAAAAGTTTGGGGTGTGTAAAATTTTCTTTTCTTTTTTAAAGAAACTAATACTTTTATTCAGCGAGGATCCTTTAAATTGATCTAAAGTGACAGTAAAGACATTTATAACGATACAAAAGATGTCTGTTTCAAGTAAATGTTCTTTTGAACTTTCTGTTCATCTGTGAATCCTGAAAAATAAAATGTATCCAAATTACAGGATGTTTTTATAGTACAATGACCTCTTACATGTCAAAAGATCAAGGGAATTTTGATTTCATGATCCCTTTAAAAAAAAAAAAATTACAAAAACACAACAAATGTACTAAAGTTTACTAAATATACTAAAACTTTACTAAAATTAAAATATAAAAATATAAACTAATTCAAAATATAAGCAAATAACACTGCTGAAAAATCATATAGACTGGAGTAATGATGCTGAAAATTCAGCTGTGCATCACAGGAATAAATTACATTTACAATATATTCACATAGGAAACAGTTATTTTAAATTGTAATAATATTTCACAATATTATAATCAAATGAATGCAGCCTTGGTAACATAAAACCAAGCTATTTAACGCTAGTCTACTTTTTCTGCTGATCTTTACATCGTTAAACTTGGTCTTATTCCCTTCTCTAGTGCTTGTCTGGTCTTCTCAGATTCGGCACAATCACAAATGCTCTTTGACTCTGTTATTGCAGATGAGGCCGTGTCAGAACGGAGGGAAATGTCGGGTCATCTGGAATGACTTTGTGTGCTCATGTCCGCTGAACTTCTCTGGGAAGACGTGTGACACTCCCGTGTGGTGCGTCAGCGATCCGTGTGACTCTGGGACTCGATGTGTGGACTTACCTGACGGTTATGAGTGTGAGTATCTGTTCTGTTCAGGCTTCATTGTCAACTGAATTTTGTTTTTACCTTTAGTTTTTTTCTCAGTATTCAAAAAAACTAAACAGACAAGCAAGCTCATAGACGAAACCAGACAAGTCAATTAGAAAAAAGAAACACTTAACTCTTATATTATGTTCTGGGTCAGTTTTGAGTTGTCGGAAATACTGGTTAAGCTAGGATATTAATCTCTTGAAAGTGTGGCTGTTTCTCATTTAGGGTCATGAACATGCCAGCAAAGTGTCGACACTAAGAGGTGTCGTGAAATCTGCCTTCAAAATTACGGTTGTGATGTTAGTGGGTCAATTTAATCTGCAAATGTCATGGATAAAAGCAAAGACAGACCCAAAATAATTTACAAAATATATACAGTATATATATGTATTTTGTTATGTCAGTTTCTTAACTACATTCCGAGGGTGTTTACTGTTACATTTATACATTTAAACAAGACACTTTTATTTGAAAAAAAAAAATGTACAAGTTGCATGGTTATTATAGTAAACTATAACTGACACTAAAACCATAAAAAAACAATTTTGTTGCTTAAAATAAATGTTAACTGAAAATCTAAAAACAAGCTTTTTATTTCAACTAATTGCCAAAGAGACATTTCTCATTTGATGCACTAAAATAACTAGAAATAAAACTAAACTAAAATAAAAGTAAATTATATAGATATATTTTTTAAACTAAAATTATTAAAAAAACAAAAAACAACAAACAAAAAAAACCGAACAAACAAATTACTAAAACTTTAACTAAAGTTAAATGAAAACAGAAAATATGGAAATAAAAACTAATTAAAAACTTTAATAAAAACTGTATCTTTGTGATACTAAAATAACTCAAAAATGATGCTGAAGGCATAATTGTTATGCATATGAATGTAGCTGGTAATCAAACTCTTTGGGAAAGCACACACACACAAAAAACTAAATTCTAAATTTTAAATAGCACATTTCGATAATATAATATTAGCATTTTGTGAAAAATATTTACTTAAAAAAAAAAAATAGTATTCAAAATCAAACTTTTTTTTTTTCTTTTTATTATTATTATTATTATTTTCATAGTGTAATTTTTGGTGAATTGTATTGAATCCAACTAGGTTCATTTTGACCTAGAGCCAGGGTTACTATAGTTAACTAAAAAAATAATAATACTTGACCAAATTAACTCAAATAAAGTAAAATAATAAAAAAAGCTTATTTCAGTCAAAGCAACTTTTCTCATTTTAATTTAGTTTAACTTGATGTATTAAAATAACCAAAACTAAAACTGAAATAAAAATAGACAAATAAAAAAATAATAATGACAAAACACAACAAAGTTACTACAATTTTAAAATTGAAATGAAATCAGAAAATAAATCAAATTCAATGTATATATATATATACAGTGGGTACGGAAAGTATTCAGACCCCCTTAAATTTTTCACTCTTTGTTATATTGCAGCCATTTGCTAAAATCATTTAAGTTAATTTTTTTTCCTCATTAATGTACACACAGCACCCCATATTGATTGAAAAACACAGAATTGTTGACATCTTTGCAGATTTATTAAAAAAGAAAAACTGAAAAATGCTCAGTATTTAGTAGAAGCACCCATTTGATCTAATACAGCCATGAGTCTTTGGGAAAGATGCAACAAGTTTTTCACGGCCCATTCTGCCAGTGAGTCTGATCATATGGAATATATATGAATAGAATAGACAGCGCAGGATGCACCTGCACGGCAGCACACAAATAGACAGCAGCAGCCTTTACAAGTGATTTGCGTGCACTGTATCTGGTTGCCCTGACAACCTCGCGCACTTGCTGCTGCTCTGTGCAATTACTTTAATGATACACGGCGTGTGAATTTGTAAGTTTACTGTAGAAAAGCTAAAATGTATTTAAAAGTGTGATTTACCAAATCGACTGGCTTAGTTTATGCATAGATATTAAATTCAATCAAGCCAGGCTCCTTTTCTTTGAATTAGTTCAGCATATATAATTATAAAATAAAATATAAATATTAGATGAAAACATTAAACTTAAAACAAACAAACATATATATATATAAATATATTTCAATTAATTACCAAGTTTTAAGTAATTTTTTCATCTAATATTTCTATTTTAGCCTTATTTGAATGAACACTAATTATTTTCAATAGTTTTCTAAATCAGATTAAACATGTACATTATATATGCTGAACTTATTTTCCATATTGATCCATATTCAAAGAATTGAATTGAATGTAATATCTATGCATAAACTAAGCCGACTACAGTCGATTTGGTAAATCACACTTTTAAATACATTTGAGCTTTTCTACAGTAAACTTACAAATTCACACGCCGTGTGTCATTAAAGTGATTGCACAGAGCAGCAGCAAGTGCGCGAGGTTGTCAGGGCAACCAGATACATTGCACGCAAATCATTTGTAAAGGCTGCGCTGTCTATTTGTGCTGCGCTAGCAATAAACACGTTGAATAGAATGCACTATAAACATGCTTGTCAACAGAATCGCCAAGTAGACTTTTATTAAGCAAATCACAGAGTGAATTACTCACCCACAGCTTTAAAAAAGATGTCTGTTGAACATGATTCAAGTTAAACGCACACAAACACTTCATATTAGTAAATCTTACTGAAAACGAACATTTATCATTCCTAGTTCTGTGTGTCTCATCCATCAGATGGCGTTTTCCTCCTCGACAGTGTGATGTGGATTTACAGTGTGAACATGGAGGCGTTTGCACTGATGGATCGTGGGGAGCGAACTGTACCTGCAGACCGGGCTTCACTGGAGACAGGTGAGGCCAGATCAGCATCAGCATCATCTTCTGCAGACGTCATCACAGGCTGATTCAATGTGAAATCAGTTAGACTGATGACTTCCTGTGTTCCAGATGTGAAGTGGACATAGACGAGTGTGAGTCGGACCCGTGTCGTAATGGAGGCACGTGTGTGAACAGACACAATCACTACCTCTGTGAGTGTGTGTCTGACTTCAGCGGAGAAGACTGTGAGGATACGGTGAGTTCTTGGGTCTTGTTCATTCGGCTGCTCAGTCCTTGTGTCCTTTTGTTTCATCCATGCTCTAAAGCCCTGCGATTTCTTTTTCTCTGAACTCCTGTTTTACTTTTTCCCGGATTCATTTTTTTCCTTTTTACATTTTTCTGAATTCATTTAGATTTTTTTGTATTCCGTTTCAATAGTTCAGTTAGATTATAATAATCAAACAGTATGTCTAATTAATTGAAATTATGAAACATATACAATTTAACAACAATAAAAGTTTAACCAAAATTTTGGGCCCTATGAAAAATGTTCTTCCACCCCCCCCACCCCCTAAATTCCATTTTATTTTTTCCCAAATTACATGTTTTCCATTGTAATTTTTCAGGATTTCCTTTAAATAGATCAATTCAATTTTAGTAATAAAAACAAACATAATTAATTGAAATCATGAAACTTGTTTAATTTAACAGCAGTTTATTAAACGTTTAACAAAAAATAAAGGAAGAAAGAAAGAAAGAAATAAAGAAAGAAAGAAAGAAAGAAAGAAAGAAATTTCAAGGCTCCATGAAATCTATTTTATTTTCCCCCAAATTCTGTTTTCCATTTACATTTTTTTGGATTCCTTTTTTTTTTCATTGTAATATTTCCGGATTCAGATTTAAGTGGTAAATTACATTTTAGTAATTAAAAAGCATGTCTAATTAATTGAAATTATGAAACTTGTTTAATTTAACAACAATTTATGAAAAGTAAAAAAAAAAAAAAACATTTTAGGGCACTTTGAAATCTTTTTTATTTTTCTAAATTCTGTGTTTTCCATTTTAATTTTTCTGCATTGTTTTTTTTATTTTTTTAATTCATTTGGATATTTCTGGAATCCATTTAAAAAAAAAATTATATTTTAGTAATTACAACAATTTATATATATATATATATATATATATATATATATATATATATATATTTGTCATTATTTTTTGAAGTTCGCTGTTCATTCCGAACACCAGGTAAATTTCCCTCTCAACCTTCAATGCATTGATCGTCCCTTATTCCTTTTGCAGTGAACTTTAAAAGAGTCCTGCACTGGGGCGGCTCTGCCACGGGCTGAGAATGATTACGAAAACGATTATTTAATTTTGATAATTATTATTTGATTTCAGTTAGGATTTAAATAACTGCTGTTAGTTTCGTTTGTTTTAGTTTTTCATTTCAATTCATTTCATTTCTTTCTTTCTTTCTTTCTTTCTTTCTTTCTTTCTTTGCCTATTTATCTGTCTATTTATCTGGATTCTGTTTTAATGGTTAACTTTTAGTAATTAAAAAGCATGTCTTATTAATTGAAATCATGAAACTTACAAAATTTAACAATTAATTAAAAGTTAAACAAAAATTACTTTTTGGGGGGCCCTATGAAATCTGTTTTATCCCCGTTTTTGTTTTTCCCAAATTCTTTGAATTCCGCTTTAATTTTTCTGGGTTCCATTTTTTACTTTTACCAAATTTTGTGTTTTTTCCGGCTTTAATTATTATAGATTCCATTTTAATGGTTTAATTAAATTTTGATAATCAAAATACAATAATTATTAGAAAAACACATTTTTCTTTAAAAAAATATGAAAATAGGACTATGAAATGTTTCAATTTTTCATAAATTCTGTGTTATGTTCATTTCCATTGTAATGGCTGAGTTCGGTGTTTTCCTCCTTGGTGTGGTCCTGCAGAAGCAGCAGCAGCAGGAGCGCGTGCCGTGGCTGATGGTGGCTGTGCCGCTGGCGTGTCTGGCGGTCCTGCTAGCAGCGGTCGTGCTGGTTTGCCTGGTTCTCACGGCCCGGAAGAAGCGCCAGTCGGAGGGAACCTACAGCCCCAGTCAACATGAAGTAGCTGGAGCCCGACTGGAGATGGGCAGCGTGCTGAAAGTGCCTCCGGAGGAGAGACTTATCTGACATCGGTCGTCCTGTGGACGGTTTGGGCCGCACACACATGTAACCGTGACACTTTAAAGCAGCAGAGCTGACAGATGTGGCTTTTATGTTGAGCACAGCTGCGTGTGCCTTCTGTAGAAGGATAATGGAGAAAAACACTGGTGATTCTCCATCATGAACGCTCACTTTGAGTAAGAGAGCAGAGGACATCTTCAGCTTGGGAAGGTTAGATGAAGCCAATGTGAGAAATATACACTGTGACCACTTTCCATCCCATATGGCAAAAAATATATTTTCAAATCATTTTCAAAATATACAAAAAAAAAATGGCCCAAAAAAATCTATTCACTAAAAATGCTTTAAAATATATTTGAGCAAATTTTTTTTCTACCAGTATATTTTAGAAAATATATTTTAAAATGCTTTTAAAAATATATATTTATATATGTAAAATATATGTTGCCCTCCACATAGTTCAATCCAAGAAAATGTTTATAATATATATATATATATATATATAGTACTTTTTTGGATGTTCATATACATATATACATAATTTCATAATTTACATATGGATAAAATATATGATGGTTGAAACTAAATATATTTTCAATCTAAAAAATATATTTAATTGCACTTCACTGTTTACAACATATATTTAGCATATATTTAAAATATATTTTGGGCAGAAAAATTATATATGATATATATTTTCTGCCATATGGGGTCTAATTATTGTGTTTTATACAACTGTGACAGTAATTCCAGTGGCAGGAAAGCGTAAAATTTTGAGGTTTCTGGTAACAACGAAGGCTTTTTGTCCAAGTAGAGGGTATAAGTGTTCAGTTTGTGACGTGTTTTGGCTTTTTTCATGTGAAAAGTTTTCCTTATTTTCTATTCCAATGAGAACAATGGATTATTAAATCATTAATCAGAGATATCAGGCCATGATTCACAGCATCAGGCTTTAAAGGGGTCATATGATGCTATTTTAAAGATCATTATTTTGTGTATTTGGTGTAACAGAATATGTTGACATGCTTTAATGTTCAAAAACACATTATTTTTCAAATACTGTACATTATTGTAGGTCCTCTATGCCCCGCCTCT